ATGTCGGCCACGTAACACTCAGCTGTAAACTTTCCAGAGAGTTGTTCGAGATCACTTTCAAAACGTGTCAACAAAAGTCGTCCACACACAACAAGCTTCGCATCTTGACACTTTCTACACTGATACATCCATTGTCTGACTGCATCCGACTATTCCATCGATGTACAATACAAACAGAGTATGGGACACAACGCAGCCCTGGTAGAAACCGGTGCCACGGCTGAATAGGTTCGGCTTAATGCCATCTACTCTGACTCAGTACTCACTATCAACATGCAGTGACTGAATGATTCGCAGTGTAAGTCGTAGCTACCAATTGCATACGTCAGCAGGCATGCCCAGAGCTTGCTGTCCAGGATCATACACTTTCCCCAGGTTAACAATCAGCATCTTAACCGGATGAGCAAACTCCTACGATTTCTGAACAACTTGGCGTTACGCGAAATTCTGATCAGAGGCAATTCGACAGGACCGGAAGCCACAGTGCTCTTCGTCGATCCTCCGCTCACCCATTCCGCACCACCTTTTTTCACACACCTTTCCATCCACTTTGCAAGGGAGGATCACTAATACAATGCCGCAATAACTCCGGCCTTCAGGGAACGGGGAACTGCCACCTGACTATTACGGATCACTCGAGTCTTTCCCGTAGTCAGTGAAGTTTCTCATACAAGTATTAACCAAAATATGCCTTGTCCCATTAAAGCCTTACGCATCTCAGGACAAATTTCATCTAGTCCAACGGCGTTGCCACTTATCAAGCCTGTTACAACTTCCGTGGCTTCATTTAATGAAAGGCTGATATCCGTTCCCGGCTGTTCCTTCTCGAGAAACGAGAGTCTTCCTGCGGTTGCTCAGGGTTAAATGGTTCCTCAAAGTACGTCCTCGACCTTTGTAAGAGGGCGCCCGGACGTGTACTTCGGAAATCTTAGACTGGACCGATTTCCATCTCGGAGGCGCCGATGGTCTACCAGAATAAATTGTTCGCCAGTGCCTCACCGAACTTTACTCAGGAATCAGCTTTCGCTCTAGCGACTGCTTTAGTTGCCGATCTGCGAGCTCGAATCTGGCAACACCCTGATGGTTTCACCGCTGCTTGTTCGTGAGTGCTTAATTGACGCAGCTAACGTCCATGTCTGGAGGTCATTCCCTTATTCACAATCCTGGAACGTGCCAGGTAGCCAGCAGCTAAGCACGCTAACGGTGCCAACATGTGGATGCGAAACTTGGAGCCAAAAACTTAAAGCCATCCATGAGCTGGAGACTCCACAATACAGCATGGAAAGATGCATGTTGAGAATAACGAGTATGTGATGTAATTGCCCGATTAAAGGAGCTAAAGTTGCAATGGGTAGGACATCTTGCAAGTAGAACTGATCAATGGCAAACCGAAGACACATTAGACTGGATTCCGGCAAAGTGAACAAGTAAAATCTCTGGATCGATGCGATGTTCAGACGAGCTGAAGATGTTCGCTAGATAAAGATGCCAGATAACATAAGTTTATGGTAAAATCTTGAAGAGACCTTCACCTTGCAGCTTGGAAACGGCTGATGATGGTAGCATATGTCGACAACGGCTAACATTCTGCTGCACGTGATCTAGTGAGCAACTCGGAATGGCATTTTTATGCTGTCCTTCCCGTGATAAATTTGCGATAAAGGACATCCGTTGTTTCGCACATACGGGTGATACGTGTTTTCAATGTCGCGGATGGATGACATGCCGTAGTTTCTTCCATTTCGTTGTTTGAACGGATAAATCAAAATGGTTACAGATGGCTAGCTTCGAATGATATATACATTCGTACTTGTGGCATTTTACCACCGTCCGGATCAGACGTAAGGTAGGTAGATTACGTGCACTGGAAGCAGAAGACCTTAAAATTACAGCACCCAAGCATGAGAGGTCAAAGCATTATCTAGCTGCTGGGGATGCTTCTTCAACAAGTCACTGATCATTACCAGTTGAAAATTAGACATTTAAATATCGAACGATTGTTCCTCTAAATTTTCCTGACTTGCACTTTGAATCCTTTATGGAGTTTCTAGAAACTGTCGCCTGTTAAGTAAATACTGGATCCAATGAAAGGTTTATGGCAACTGTTGGCTGCCTCGTACAAAAGAGCTAGAAGACTGCATCAACGACCTCATGAATAATCATGACCGAGGATGCTCTGTGCCCAGTATTACTTAACTACAGGGTGGCACAATCTGGGATGGAACGATCAACTGGTGTCCCATCCGTCAGTTACCATGGTATAGATAATCGAACAAATTTCGACGTTTAAGCCCAGCAGTCCCGACAAGATCACTGAATGCACAAATGCTTTGGCCATATCAAAGTAGCATTCAAAAACAGATGGACCTTTCGCTAAATTTACGGCAAGTAATTACGGTCACGGCATCTCCGTGATTCAGAGCTGTATTATCATTAGCGTCGTGCGGCTCCTCAGAGAAGCGTCCTAACTAAAAAGCAGCTCTCTAGAAGATCCATTGAATTTATTCCTCATAGTGTCTTCCATGCAGTGTGCGTTGCAAACAGTAACTGGCCGCAGATAGCACAAATAACAATCATTTTGTTTTCTACTGATGGAGGCAATATTTAATGAATCGTCTTTCAATCCTCCTGTCTCGAAAATAACGAGTCTCGAATCAAAATTCACCACAGCTGCGTAATGGCGTTAACTCAAATACATGAACACCGCTGTTATCTAACAGCTTTAGACGGTCAGTTTTCAAAGCTGCATAATGGTCCGTCTGCAGTACATTCGATTATGTACAAATGAGATAAACAGTTTTATTCCAAAATACAGGACATAAATCAATGTAAGATGATAACGGCACTTATTCTGAAACAAAACACTTGAAACCGCATCCAAAATAATAGCACCCTCTTGCGTACGAGAAAAACGAATACAGACATTATACACAGCATTTATTTAACGATAATGGCTGACAAATTCATCACAATTATAGAGACCTAGAGCAAAGTCTGTTCCAGCATGATCTCTTCAAATCCGTCCGGAATCCTGCAGTTAAAGCTAGTGAAGTACAGATCCAGAATGGCATTGTCGTCAACTAAAAGAGAAACAGTGACACAAAGAACAGCACAAACTGCAGGCAAATCTGCACTGTAATGAACAACGATTAATCACATTATTCATCTGTAGGGTTTCAAAAGCATATGATCCAATCTCGAGAAATGCATTGTCAAAACTAGGTGAATAACTCGGGATTGCACCAAAGATTATTCGCATAATTATAACGATGCATGTTCTTTCATCAAGTGTGAATTGATGGCAAGTTAAGCAAATTTTAGTGGTACAAAGTTTCGAGTAAGGCAAGGAAGCGTGAAAGGTCTTCTGCTGTTAGTGATGTTTCTGGATTGGATCTTCCAGCAAATACGAAAGAGTGAAACTACAACGATGAGTGGGCAACATCTACATAAACTCTCCTGAATTTGCGGATATCTAACTGTTTACCGATAAGACATCACTGTTCCAAACTATGAAACAGGTGTTCTGATATGGGTTTCTTCATTAACATAATGAAGAAAAAGCGAATGTAAATTCATAGAACCAATACCACAGACTGCATGACCTTCGAAACTGAAATTGTGGACAAGATACAAGAACATCTGTAACTTGGAAATACACTAGCTGCGGCAGACAGAGGAGTGACAAACGAAGTTAGGAGGAACAGTGCGTCAGCATTAGCACCTAACAAGTAATTCAAGCACTAGAAGGACACAGATGTTACGAATAGCACCAAACTATGGATTTAAAAAACTTGCGTTCTGAACATCTAGTTTTGTGGTTGACAGACGACCGCACTTGGCAAAGCTGAAAACAGAAAACCGAAAGCGACAGAAATGAAGATGTTAAATACAATATTCAGAGTTAAGCGGTTCGACTTTGTGACAAATGCTGCTTAAGAGAGATTAACATATCCGACTAAAGGGACCTATAGACAACGAACAATGCGTTTAAAGTGGTGGGGCCATTGCCAATGAATGGACGATGGCTACTGGCAAGGTCAATACTGAGCACATCGCCTGATGGCAGGTGGCCGTCAGAAAAACCTCACTCAGCGATATGAGAAGATCTTGCTAGAAGTGACATGGCATCGAAATGGTTAAAAAATAAGCAAGCATATATGCGATCCAGGTGCAACGGTCGCACAGCATCCGGTGTCGTGTTCGATGCAGTGGGATAAAAAAAGAATATTATTCGTCAGATTCATGCCACATTTTAGTCACTGTGCAAAAAGATCTGACAGTGCAAAAGATAATAAGCGATTCAGCTAAAATCCCTGAACGACTTTCAGTGAGCATAATCTTTTTCCGAAATCTACGTCAACTCAGCTACTGAAAATAACTCTTCATCTTAACAATTTAGAAAATCTTGTCGCTGTCAGTGAAATGAAAAATAAACAGATTTACTGGGCAAAAATGAACCCAAGCAATTCGGTAGATGCTGAAGAACAGATCAGGAGTTTCCAGTCTTCTTCAACCATAGATAAAAACTCACATGTTAATTAACTTTCATGCATATAAATCACTAGTCCGATGTTGGTCAACAAGCTTGGATTTGACCTATACCGCTTGACATTCATCATTTCTTGAGAGGTACCGATGAAGTTGACCTCGATTCACTTTTGTCATTTCAATATTGCCTTGAAGTTGTAAGCTATGGCCAGAATGTCGACCAAGCTCTTAGGTAGCAACTGTGATCTTCGAAACAGGACTAGCGCATTTATTAATAAAAGTGGATGGATGAATGAATAAGCCTTACCACATGCCTGAAGTGGGCTACAAACTATTGGCGAAACTTGGTCACATTTCCATAAGATCATCCTGTGTTAATATATTAATTAAATTTCAAACTTGCTACCTTCACCATAAGTCGTGTGGCCAGATAAATGAGCTGGTTTCTGGAAAAGACTAAAACCTCATCTTGACGACATCTACGTACGACAGGTCAGCTCAGACTGCAACATGTAAGCAGTGTGCAGTTAATGTGCAGAAGTAATGAAGAACATGAAGGAACATAGCAAACACGTATTAAAGAGGTGCAGGGGCGGTTTGCTTGCGAATTTGTTTGCGGTTCCATTCTCTAACCTTTTTAAAATGATAACTGCATTTTGCACATAGTTGTGACCCTGTCTGAATAACGGAAACTGGTCGTGTTTCACAGACACATGAAACACTTAGTCAACTGAAATGAAACCAATAAACAAACCGGCAACACAATAAAAGAGGTTTGACAGGAAAGCACTTCAGAATGAGGAAGAAAAAGAAGCCCCGTTCATTGAGACCAACGTCTGAATATGAGCAATGGAATGGAAAACCAGACCAATATCCGGGCATAAACTGTTGACAGCGAACTACCAACTCTGAGCCGTACCGCCCCCGCACCCTCCTTCGTGGTGCAGAATTTCAATTTGACGATGTGACTTCTGTTCGTTCTGGTTTTGCCACTGTATCGTGAAACGAATTAATAGTAGTTCGAAACAAAGACGTGATGCTTGACGAAGTTAATGTGAAGAGCAACTGTTAAAGTAATGACATGACCATTGACTCAATTTACTGCACAAAGGAATACTGCACCCTATAAACCATTCTTCTTACCTTTGTCCCAGGCAACGGACAACGATGAAAGTAAGTGATTGCACAGCAGGATGTTCGATGGAGCGTGGTTCGGTTTAGCCGCTACCGAGGTCGTGAATTTTAAAACAGTCGGCCAACTTAGTTGATGGATTATTACAAAATCCTGATTGGTGGTCAACCACCTGGTAGTTACGATGCGACTGCGACTGTTCAGCCGGTCGGCAAATGAGCTTTCCTCCCTGGCTGCCTCGGGTTCACAAAGAGACACCTTATCACGTTTGAGTGACGTGGCTGCCCTACCGCGCTCAATATCATCCTCATAAGGAGACAGAGAAAACAGAAAACAAAAGGACAACCCAGCAGAAGAAATACAAACTCAAACTATCACAAGAGGATTCGGCCCCTGGATCATCAACGCGATGGCACGAAAAAATCTGCGCCAGTCGACTACACGCACATGGAGAAAAACGAATACCACAAATTTCTACAATATATACGGAAATATTCATTCTATTAATATCAGAGCGAGGATGGAACCCGTTCACAACTGATTTATAGCACCATCAACCCGTATTCTTAAAGATTCCTACTCTGTCAAATAACGCCATTTGACTTTACTTCGTGCAACACAGTTTCGTTTGTACCCTCTTGTACAGTGATCGGTTCTTTATACTGTCAACTGTTCAATTTTTTATTGATTCCTTTTTTCATATGTTCTTTTGTTCTTCTTTACTGGGCGAAACTGCAATTATACTAGCTCCTTTCATTTTCATGTGTCGTGTAATGCTCAATGTTCCCTTATTCTTCTCTATACGATGCATATGAATCAAACAATCAGTCAATTTCCATAACCGCTTGTCGTTTTGGTCGCGGAGGCACACGCGTCAGAGAGTGCTTCCAACGTTCCCGATCCTGTGCCGGCATATCAACTTCGGAAGAAGCCAACCGGAGTCAATTGAAGGCTTGTTATCTAAGATTGCGTCAGGTTAATCCCTGTCATTCCCGGGGTATGCTGCCGGCCGGTTGGGTAAGTAGTTTGTTGCTCTGCTTTTCATTATGATCCCAATTATCATGCAGAAAAGTTGTGCCCATCTATGACCTCATCCAAGCTGTAAAATAATAAGAAAATTCTGAATATTGCCTATGTGCGATTAGACAGCAGAACGCGGAAGTGGCGCAGCTTAGCAGTGAATGATAGTTTTACTAGTCAACTAGCATGTTATGCATCAAAGATTCAGAAACCGCCCTGAAATAGGAGTGTAAAATAAGCATGGTCTTTCGGCTTCCGCTTTGTTCCTAGCAACTGTATCATAAGTACAAGAGAAAAACCTGTTAATTTTTCTGGGGTATATCAAAAGAAAGCAATAATGATTCCGCGAATAGGATTCTGAACGGCCTTGTGAATTCTACGATGCATAGCAATGAATTATCTACAAAGAAACAAAATTTAATTACCAGTGCCTAATCATCGAATACGGAACAAATGTTCATCTCATCATGCTGAACAAAACTAAATATTACTCATGTCCAGCACCGCGTAGTGCAACAAAAAGTGACCTAGAATAATAAATTAAACCGCTCTCAACTGAAGAGTGAACAATAAGTGACTAGTTAGTTCAGCGAGTGATGAATGAAATAGGTAAGAACAAGCAAAAACAGTATTCTGGAAAAAAAGAAAGCAAACAATATCCGCGTGTCATAACGAATTCAGAAACTATTCATAAAGTTCGAAAAAAGGAAAGTTTGTATCAAATCTGATGCGACATTCAATATACACATGCGATGAGAATTTCTAGCATTCTTTTTCACGATGCCGGCGCAATGACGCTGATTTCATTTCTGTCATAATTCCATCAGCCAGAAGTGCCAAATTTTCGTAAATGTATCAGAAGCTATGCAGCTCGATGGAAGTGTTGGATACAGTATGCTTTTAAATACTTAAGCAGCAGTACTCTATCCCAGATGGAAGATAAGCAAATTAAGATTCGAAACCACAACCTTCTGACAGAAATTTACACTCCCTCCTCATTCAACCATTGCGAAATCTGTAGAACACACAGCAAAAAAGGGGCATACGCCCTCCAACGCCATGATTGCTACACATCATGAAATAAACGCGGCAACCAGAAAAAATAAATGAAGCTTTCGTGTAGAAAGGTAATAAACGAATAGTCAATAAGTCAGTTTCGATGACCGCGTTCGTTTCAGCTCGAAGAAACAGACTCACCATACTGTGTCGTCACTGTTCAAGATCATGTGCTACTGTTTGCATCTCGGCAGATGATAACCCGAGTATGGAGCAGAGTCCTTCGAGTCATTTGCCCTCAGTCACTAGTGGCTGTCCTAGGGATTCTCTGCCGGCCCGTTGGGAAAATAGTAGCTGATTCACTTTTCCTTCTAAAAGCATTGGCAAAACGAGCCCAAACCATCGTTCTATAGCACGTTTACGTAGACTTTACCCGGGAGTCTCAATAAGGTAATGCCTTGATAACTGGACCACTCCCTGTGGTCTCCCTTCTCGGAAAGAGGAACTATAACCCTTGTTTTTCAGTCCACTTCTGTCTTATCCATAGCTATTGCAGTTTCATCGACAGGTCATAGCTTGTTCGCCTCTAGCTTTATACACTTCAGAACGGTTTCCTAGATTCCAGCGGCCTTTATACTTTTCAAGCCTTTCACAACTTCAGTAACTTCATCTAATGAAAGAATAACATGTTGCCTGCTGTTCTTCAGGCGAGTCTTCCTGCAGTTGCTACGGGATAAGGAATTCTTCAAAACACTCTCTCCATCGTCGAAAGAATCTGCCTATCCTCGGTTAAGTGGGTGTCCTAGACCTGTCCTTCAAGACTCTGAGACTGCCCTTATTTTCACCTCGAAGCCAGCGAATGGTCTCCAAGTATACTTTGTTTGCCGTCTGGAAATTCGACTCCATCACCTCATCCAACTTCTCCCAGGAATCAGCTTTGGCTTTCGTCACTGCTTTCGCTGACGCCTTGTGCGATGGACAGATCGCACGCGAGTAGAAAGCTCTTTGCTTCCAAGCCATTTCTTGAATGCAGCTTTCTTCTCAGTAACAGCTAGTGTCCACCAGATGGTTAGTTTTCGACCTCCAGAGAGTAATCCAACCCATCCTTAAACCGCTCTTAAGGAGCTTTCACATTGTTTCCACATCAGCATCATCGCTAGGACCTGTCTAGACCGTCATGTAATGTTGTTCGAAAGTTTCGCTCTCGTATCCGCTGATGATGTTTCCCATTTGATTTTCTGGTTGCTTCTGCCACCAAACCGACGCAGGGTACTTCAAATCTCACAAGGTAGTGTCCAACAACAAGACTGACACTTCTGCACCTCTCTTAACCCAAACATATATTACAAAGCGTCGTAAGTCAGACCATATGATTGTCAAATCGATCACAGAATTCTGCGCATGGACTTTCCTGTACCAGGTATACTGATGCACTCTTCGTCCGCTGTTTGAGTCCGTTGTTTGCATAAAACCGCAGCAGCTTCACGGTGTTAATGTTGAGGTCACTAGGGCCGTTCTTCCGATCACGCCTTTCCACTTTCCAGTGTCTGCTCTGATACGCTCATTGAAACTGTCTATTAGAATGATGGACTCCGCAGTGGATACTTCGTACGGAACACTTTCTACATCGTCTATGAAAGACTCATATTCTCCTTTTAAATTCGGATAACCAGTAACAAGGTCAAAGTTTTAGTCAGTTAACTGTCTTTAATCTGTAACCACAGCTGAATGATTGCTACTCTCCCGCTGAGAGGCTCTGATAATTCTGCCAGCCAGGTTCAATTGTACCAGATCACAAGCACCGGCCTGAGCGCGTGTTGCGGTACTGATACAAGAGCAAAGTAGCTACCATCATTAGAGGTTCAGAATTTCAGAGCCCTGGCGTTTCGCTGACAAAAGTCCAACTGTGCTCAGACGGCAACTTATCAACTAAGTCCTGCTCTTTCCGTGTGAATGAGATGTAACAGTATCTGGTTGAGAGCTACCACTATCGAATCGATCATCGATTTCTGTGGACAAGCTTCGCTATTCCAGGCATACCCATGCGCGCCTCGATATTCAAAAAATAGTGTTCATAACAGATAGTCTGCTTTTTTGCACAAAATCACAATAAGTTATGTCCTAACTGTTGAGGTGGCTAAGACAGTTCTTTCCAATAACGCCTCTTCACCCCGTAGGTGTTTACATGAGACGCGCACAGAAATTGCCCATGAGAATGCTAGTCGGCACTTCGTACAGAGTACTTACGGTGTCATCCGGTAAGGGAGTCATATTCTCCATCTGATATGAATACATAAGCCTGGAATCAGGTCAAATCTTTAACTTGTAACTTCTGCCTGATGAGTGCCACTCCTCCGCTGAGAGGCTTCCATTCACTGAATCAGTCAGAGAGGTTGGGTTTCTCGAGGACTCCAACAACGGCTTGAGCGTCTTGCGTGAATTCCATACCTAAGTAGAATAACTGAATAGAAGCTCAGAATTCAAGAGCCTTGGCGCTTCGCTGTCGAGAGTCCAATTATGCCGAGTTAGTGCACTGCGGTCTCATCAACCAGCTTCTGCTCTTTCCTTCTGAGAGAGAATCTGTTCCAGTTTTCGGCTGTCAGCTCCCAATGGCGGCATCATTCCTGTGGAGCCTTTTCTGACGTGCTGTAATGGCATCGCACTGTCTGCTTCCTCCATTCAGAACGGGTAGCGACTTCGTCGCTAAACGATATGTTCGTCTTGTTAATGTCGATCTTCGGCAGTCGCTGACGTGCTGTTACGCCTCGAGCTGCCAGAAGGCGTGAAGCAGGTTCTCACTGGCGACTTTCTCTGTCTGGCTCACTTTTCCAACAGCCTGCGCTGCCGTGGTAACTCACGCTACGACCGAGTGGGTGTAACGTTCGATAAGTGCAATACCATGAAGGGTAGGTGGCTAAATTTTATGGGAGATTATGCCACGGTCTCCAATAATGAATAAATATCCTAACAGATGAATAAACAATGACAAAGATAGAGAATTAAGCCCCTGTTAGAAGG